TGTGAGCCTTCGAAGGGGTCTAGGCCGTATCGATATTGTCTCAGAAGAGTTAGCAGGAAGCCCGAGTCAAGCAAGGTTTAGATAAAGTGAGCTGCTAAACCGGGGGAAAATATTAGGTGCACGAAATACGGCCATTTCAGAGATGATTTTCAAGCCTTCGACCGTCTATATCGCAAGTCCATAGCACGTTCAGTCAGGTTGTCCCAGGAAAATGTGTCATATGAGGTAAATTATCCGGCGTTAATATGGTTCAAAACCTAAAGTCGACGAAGCCGACGAGGGCTGGATTACTCCGCGAGGTAAAATTGCCATTTTCGATCAATTTTCTGGTTGGTCCAGCATTCCCGCGGGATACAAAAGCCTTTCACTTAAGTAGGGGCTTCTAGGATTAATTGGGTTTCACAACGATAATGGTCAACGCTCGTATGATGCCACCGAACACGGCGCTAGTTCAGCCGCCAGGGAGTAAAGCAGAGGTATTTTCGAATACGTCACGCGTCACACGGACTTCTCAAGCTTACTTCATAAGGCGCGACCGTGTTGATAAGCAGCCGATGACCAAGAAACTGTAGCGCCAGTCGGAAATCCGGAGCAGAGAAGAGTTTGGTCTATGTCTTGAAGATCACTCTCGAGAGGGTAAATAGCGAGTCTAGTGCCCTTGCTCGTTTCAGACATCGTGGAGCCTGACTGGCTGAATCGATGGATGACAAGGAACCAGGGTGTGAGGTTGGCTGCGCGGCATTCCCAACCGTCAGAGCAGACGATGCGGACAAGGCATGAAAGGGAGAGTGATTATTAGAGTCGCTCGATAATAGCGAATAGATTCTTCGTGACTGAGTAGTGCCTAACCACAAGTAGGAGTTTGCGATACCAACATGCGTTCTTAGTGGGGAGACGGTGCATGATGCGCGATGATTCATCGCGCGCCAAGCCAGATGCGGAAGGAGATCTCACGGGAACCTCTCGCGGTTGGCTATGGTGCTGGTTGCACAACTTGCATCTTCCGCCTACAAATACACATGAATAGCTCTGTATGCCTTCGAATGAAAATTAAACATCTTACTTTTCATTCTCTCAATAGGTCACAGACACGGCCCATACTTTGGCTCTGCTGATTCTCGGTTCTCCTGTGCTATTTCCATATTTGCCAGACAAATCACGCTAGCACTGATTACATCGCCGTCAAAGTATCGAGTAATATACCTACTCTTGGGATTACTTCAAATTGTGCGACATAATGACCGTCAACAGCGGCACCAATCAAACTTGCGATCCGCCATATCCCATCCCCAAGGGCCTTCGCATGATCCCACTGGACCAGCTCGATCTTCGGTCAGACGCTGAAGTGGACGCGATCATCAAGTCAGCCCCGCCAGTCACATCCACAAAGAATCTCTGGTTCTTTTGGAACTCAGGCTACGACGATTTACACCCATACGCGAAGCGTAATGTTCGCACCTGGCACCGTCGGTTCTCCAGGCAGGGTTGGACAATACGAGTTATGGACCTCGAGCCTGAGTCATCTGGATATATCGGGAACTGGATCGACATAAGAAACCCAAACAACGTGCCCATGGCGTTCACGAATGGCGTCCTGGACGGGGAGTTTGCCACCCAGCACTACTCCGATCTCGTTCGCTTTCCTCTGCTGCTCAAGTACGGCGGAATCTACACGGACGTAGGGTTCATGCAGATTGGCGACCTTGATAGGTTATGGGAAGAAACTATCGCCAACCCACAAAGTCCTTTTGAAGTATTGTCTTACAATGCCGGTGGTCCCCGAGACTACAGCCTCCTAAACTACTTCATGGGAAGTCTTCCCGAAAACAAGTTCTGGCAAGCATGTCATGATCTTCTCTTGAAATTGTGGGAGGGAAAAGCAAATACGGAGGGTCTACACGGGCATCCACTCCTCAAAGGGCTGCCCTTGATGGGAGAATCGTTCAGCAAATCGGGAGACACGAGTTTGAGCGAAAGATTGACAGACTACATCATCCAAGGACAAGCGATTACGATGGTTATGAGTACAGTCGACAAAGAAAGAGGTTGGAACGGCCCTGAATATGTCACAAAGAAGATATTTGCGCCGGATTACATGGTTGGGAGTCAGTTGATCAACGAATATACGAACTGGAATGGAGTACAGGCTTTCAACCTCATGAGCCTAAAGGTGGCGCGGCTTGGAGAGCCGGAGTCGGACGATCAAAAACTGGCACGGAAAATCGCGGAAGATTGTCTCACGAGAAGCTTTGGCTTCAAGCTAGCACACGGCTTGATTGTTCAAGTACTCGGACCTACGTTGGGAAGCTTGTGGAGGAAACATGAAGGCAGCGATGTGGTGGAAGGAACGTACGCCCAATGGTTGAGGTATGGCATGGAGAGATGGTGCCCAGACCATTTGCCGCAAAGGGAAGATTACGAGTTAATGGAACCTGTAAAGGTTGGTTCTTTGTTGAGAGAGAAATAGACTATTCTAATAGCTAGATAATCACAATGCTCGCACTTACGATCAATATCACGGATGGGAATATGGGGGCTGATGGATGTTCTTCCCATCAAACTTGACAGACATCCGGCGAAGGAGTTCATGGTCGATGTCTTCCAGAACTCGAGCATTAACTGGCGTCCCCCATTTGGACCTTTCATGCCAAAACTTTGCATTTTCAGGCAAGTCATGATGTTCTTCCTTCGACAGGATGTTGTGGTTGTTTGTGAGGAACACTCCACAAGTTTTGCAAAATGATTTCCAGAGAATTTTGTGGCTGAACTTGTATCGCCCAATGTCCTTTCGTCTCCTATCAACTCAACGTTTTCGTCATTAGGGTATACCCATGCCTAACCGTTCTTCGATCGCATTAGCAAGCTACCAAAACAAATTCATTTGCGATATGAAACTTACCATCTCGCAAACTCTGCAGTTGCATTCTAACACAAGTCCTTCGTAGGTTCTATCCAGAGGGGTGCTACGCAGGCGAAGTGTCAAGGCTCCGCAGTGGCAACCTCCTGTTAAACATTTGGGCTGTCCAGAGAAGGAGGGGTTTCGGCAGTTTTCAAGCCAGGTCGTTGTTGAGAAGAGCTGTGCCCAACATGATCAACCCTATCAAAAGTGAACATAAGGAATCTTTTGATTTCAGAAGACTCTTTTCATACTGTTCCAGCTTTAGATCCTTGACATCAAGGCTCGGAATGTCCGCGCCTGTACAGTCAGATGTCGAAGGTCGCCCAGTAGAAGGTACCACTGCTTAAATTAAACGATATCTGTGTATCAGACGAACTGGTCGCCATCACAGAAGTAGCGCAAAAACCGCAGAACTGTGAGGTGAGATCATGTTTGCCGCGGGGGATCATCGCAAACTCTTACCTTATAAGTGGTATTTTCCGCACCGATGGTGTAGCTCGTCAGACAGCTCTCGTCCCCTTTGACAAAGGTGACCTCACTCCGGCTGGCGGACAACCATAGGTTTGCCTTTTTGACACACAAGTCGCAACCGCACTGTATGGCTTTCCCGGGTTCTGGAAAGTAGACGACGTACACAACCCCAGTACAGTGGCAGTCGCCACGCAATTTTCGCGTGGGTTCGTGGGGTCCGGTCATGCTGTAAATGAAGGCAAGATGAAGATAGGTAGCTAAAGAGCTTTCGCACAAGATTTGGCACAACTTTTAAATCAGGCCCGTCGGGCTTCATAATGATATCGGACCCGGAATGGAGTTGCTCTTCCGTAGGCTTTGAAGGTATTTGTTGAGCTGCGGATCCTACGGCCCGCCCACCAAACATGCTGCTCGGTCTCGGTTTCTTTAGTGTTTGTATTGGATGCCAGCTGGATTACCGCGCGCCGTTGTTGGCTCGTGCATTCTAATACTGCATGGTATTGTTGGGCCATACTATGCGTGTATGGAAAGGAGAGCCCCTCAACTCTCCGGCAGCAGCCAGGAATCTCAAGCCGAGAACTTGTGGCACTGACCTTAATAAAATGAGATTATGCGGCCATTGATAGTTACGTTCTGCACAGCACAAGTCTTGAGACAGAAGCACCAATACTATCCGCTAGTAAAAGTCCGGGTTTTCTTGCAGCCACTTAGATTGTTCAATGACAACGACCAGGTGCATACTCAGCTTACCGCTGAAAGTAATAAGCTACTAGAGCGGCGTGACGGGATTGTTCTACTCCGCTTCAGCGGTGGAGATTGCACAACGTTGATTTCCCGCGCGCTTATGACTCAGTAAAAGCCGGTGCCTTGATCAATGGGCCAAGGACGTTGACTAATTTTGTTGAACTGCCAGCAAGACCAATCAGGCATTATGATAGCTGAAACCATTGTTAAGCCCAGCTATTATACATATATCCACGGCATACCATCGTACTCTCTTGCTTCGTTGCGTCCTAGAGCATATCAGGTAAGTACGATACCGGCTTAGAAGAGCATGGATTGGTCCAAGAAGAATCTATGATGTGCAGTGTTATGTAAGGAGAGGGTTTGAAGCCAGGAAACTCAAAATGTCAGACTGGAGAACGCAGTATGGGCTTCGTACACATGAGGAGATGGAATGCTGAGGAGCCCAGGTTTCACAATATTTGGCCAACCGGCCGATTCTGACTATGTTGGGTCCTTCTTGACCCTTCGCTTTGCCCGAGCAGCCGCATGATGGGATCACATGCGCGTCTTTCCTGCATTGCAGATACTTGCTCTCATACTGTCTAAATCATTATCTCCTGTGTTCTGAGATCAGTGTTTGACCGATGCTTGATATCTAGATTCTAGTCTGTTACAGACAATAACGACTCGCTCTGAGGAGAAAACGGAAATCGAGAATAGGACGAAAAGTGTGTAGTAAACCCAGTCTGAAGGAGACGAGCAAAAGTTGGGTACGCCCGGACGATGCACCAATGGAATTGAGAATGACACTGTGAGCCTCGAGTCCCGTCCATGTTCCTGCCTAGTGTCCGCCCTCTCTGACTCTGTCTTGCTGAATTTTGAGCTCTCAACGATGGGCTGAATGTTAGATTAACACAAAAGCTGCGGCAAGACCAGCAATTGCGGCACCCCACGTGGGCTTCATCAGGCTTGCAGAGCTTCCAATCAAATCATATCCTTCAACCGCGTACTTCTCGCTTGGCTCTATACTGGCAGGATGCGTTGCATTGGTAGGATGTCGCCTTATCGTGAAGTAGAATACCTTGTCGGATGAAAGCTTGTTCTGGTTCTTCATAAATGATTCCACCTCCGAGGCCGGATTCCAGTTGTAGCCGTATGTCCCACTACCCGTAGTCGTGAAATTCTCTTCAAGCGCGTACCCGAAACCCCCTGCGCTATTTGCAAATTCGCCATACCACCAGAGATCAATTTCGGTCCATTCAGGGTTCCCCTCGTTGTTCAGTGTCCATTCAATGGTGATTGGCGCGGAGAGGTTGAGCTTGCGGTCGGCGTCGGGCGCTGTGAATTCTAGGGCGTTGATGAGGCGCGCCACCCCGATGAGCGCTGTAAGTGTAAACTTTTGCATAGTTGCTGTGTTCGAAAAGTGCGTGTCAGGTTTGATTGATTCGGTTGACTGGTGATGCGGGTTCAGTAGCGTTGTGTGCCACGAGACGGTGAGGAAAGCAGCTCTTGACCGCAGTGCCTGGAGACCAGTCGGGGTAATAAATACTCTGATTGCGTCAAGCTGAGTTAGGCAACATCATGTGGCATACTGGGGGTAATTCAGGAGCTTGTGTTAGGCCAAGCAACTTTAGCGCGTGACTGCTCGCAGTAGTGCATGGGTCAGGGTGCGTTTTCCTTTTGTTTGCCGCTGTTGGTTCTGATATTTGGACAATCGCTCGCTGCAACGGTGACGCCAAGCTTCGGGTCGTGACTAAGAGGCGCAGCAGTAGCGAGAAGACTAACCGTGTGTGGGCAGGTGTTGCAGGTCATCTCAGCGCCCAATCTGGTGTAGATGTTCGTCCGGAATGCTAATTGATCAACCTTACATCAACCGCATGTTGAAGGGACGGAAGAACTTCGGTGCCTCTCATCCATCGCTTTTGTCAGCACTAGACGTCTAGGACAGTTGTCTGCAGACCGACTTGATGTCCAGTCCGTCATCTTGGCTCTTGACTTCCTTCTTTCGAGTTTGATCGCCATCGCCTCAACTCGTAGCAGCAAATATGGCGGACCTAGTTGAGCTTGACAGTCTCGAAATATTGGCGATCATCGACAATGAACTCGACCCGATCTCACCTTGTCCCAACCCCCTAATCGAGCAGACCGGTGGCATCAGAGACCTCACCATGCGTGCCATCCGAGAGTCTCCCGAGGAAGGGGGTCCAGTCCCAGAGCTGCGAATGAGCAATATCTGCTGCAGTGCCCACGGGCTTTCGCTGATGATAACGGGAGTCAAAAACGGACAAAAGCGCACAATTCTCTTCGATACAGGGCCAGAGGAAGATATATGGGAGCGGAATGCCAAACGCCTCCGAGCTGACGCTGGTCAAATCGAACTGATCACGCTGAGCCATTGGCACAGAGACCACTCCGGCGGAATGCTCAAAGTCCTTGATATGGTATCCGAGGCTCGTCAGCGGAACAGTGGTGTTCTGTTACCAGTCACAGTTGACCTTCATCCTGGTCGCCCAGACTATCGGGGGGCGCAGGTTCCCGGCATGCCTGTCATTTCCTTGGAAGCTGACCCGACTTTCGAGGAAGTTGAGGCACACGGGGGCACTGTGACGAAGAATAATCAATCCCATACGGTTTTGGACAACACGTTTCTGATTTCCGGAGAAATCCCACGAGTATCAGGCTACGAGGCAGGCTTTAGGTTTGGAATGAGGTTTGACAAGACCAAGGGCGAGTGGGCACAGGACGAGAAAATGCTCGATGAGAGAATTCTGATGTGCCGCCTGAAAAGTAAGTCTCGTCTTGTCTCTATCTAAGTGGACTAATTGAGAAACGACATTGCTGACGATCACATTAGACAAGGGAATCGTGATGTTCACAGGGTGCGGCCACGCAGGTGTGGTAAATTCGGCGAAGCACGCCATGGATCTTGGTAGCGGTGCGTCACTTTATGCAGTCATCGGCGGTTTTCACCTTGCCGACGCTCAACCCGACATCATCGAGCAGACTGCATCTGACCTGAAAGAATCTGGGGTCAAGGTGCTCCTTGCGGGGCACTGCACTGGCTGGAGAGCCAAGGCAGAGTTGAACAAGCAAATGCCGGGTATTTATGCACCGTGTTTCGTGGGATCAAAGTTTGTGCTGTAGCCACGGCGGTCAAGAAACTGACCTATGGGGGACAGATTCTGTTTTCAAGGTCTTCAGAAGAGTAATAGACTGGACACAAATAGGTTGCAACCAAAATTGAAATTATTTCCCTAGGCAATGGCTTCTAACTCCTTGCTTTTACCTCCCAGTCTATATCAAGACACGCTCTTTCGATAATAATTGCAGAGACCATTTCCCATGACAAACATAACAATACAAGATGCTTTTCGTCTCAACATGCGCTGTAAGGTAACAGGCTACAATCCAAATGGCAGGTTAACCGGGAGTCCGTTAACGAAAGGCACATTCACAGGCAATCTGCCACCGCCGTTGTTCCGACCACCGAATGGGAACCCAGAGTCGCCGAAGTTGACAAGTGATGGCCCTGATCCCCCAAAACCCGTGCCTCCAAAAGGAGTTCCAATGTTGACATTGGTGCGCTCGCGATCACGGTCGTCGGTACTCCATGTCCAAGAGCGGCCACCATCACTGCCTGTGTCGATGTTGATATGCACACGCCGATAGTTGCCGTCAGCATCCCGGTCATCTTGCCGATTTTGCTGATCTCCACGGTCTCGTCTTTCTGAGCGACCAGATCTCTCATTTTGCTGGTTCTGACGAGTGGTGTTCGCACGCCTCGGTCCCTCCTCGGGATTGGTGCGAGCCCGGTTCGGGCGTGGCCGTGCCGGCTCGGGATCGGGGCGCCGGGGCACCTCTTCGTCATACGAGTCATCGTCTTCTTGCTGGTACTGCCGTCTTGACTGCTGATTCTGCCGTGGTGGGTCTCTTGGCGTCTTTAAGTCACCGTACATGCCATAGATGCTGTCCTCCCAAGCTCGTCCAGCCTGTTCGCGCTTGGGCTGCTGGCGTGGAGGCGACAGACGCTGCGGCGATCTAGGTGGGATGGTGTAGTCATTGTTCTCCTGGCTGTATCTGCTTTCGTCTGTTCTTCCAGTGCTGTATCTGGAGTTGTTTCTGTCGAAGTTGTTGCTGTATGAGCTCGTGTACGGTTGGCTTGACTGAGAGTTTGTGGGGGTTTGTCGGACCAGGGGGCCGGAGTTGGGAAAGGGGGACTGCCCTGGACGGGGGTTGCTTGAGTTCCCTGGCCCGCCGGGGCCAGATTTATTGTTGTTATTCATTGCGAAAGTATATGGGAGATCTGAAAGTATGGCTGGTAGCAGAATGCGACTTGAAAATGGCTGGCAGAAGGAAATAAATGCGAAAACTCAATGGCGATCCAATGTCTTTTATCTTGTGTGATCGGTCAATCACGGACCTCTCTGATGGTGCCATAAGATACCCACATGAATGTCATGCGTTTCAAGCGCGTTTATGGAGTCGAAAGGAGTGCGAGGTTCTCCGGAGTGACGAGTTGCGACCTTACGACCTTGTTGCTCGAAGCGTTTCAAGTCGAGCCCCCGATGACCTGGAACGTACCGATATCAGACCACAAGAATCCCGACGACGTGGAAGTGTCCCCTTGGCCTGTATCGGCATCGCCCAACAACACGAATCGCCTTCGATGGACCCCAAAAATCTTGGGATGACCTTTCGGAGATTTCTCAGAGAGATCAACAAGGTGCCCTTCTTCGTCTGAGGGCGTCCGAAGTATCCTTGTCATCGTCAGCCCATCTCAGTATCACGACCCCTGCAAGCGTCGCGAGGAGCCGAACTACAGCGTACCCGCAAGACCGGTCAGTGCTTCAACTGTAGATCATGGGCTGTTAAAAAAGCAAGGTTTCGGCTCTTGTTGTGACTACAATCTGGTAATCAGCAGATGTGTCTTGGTGACGATGCTTTGCCACGGTGTTGCAGCTAGGATAACTGGTTAGGAGGTTCCCCGATTGTCTCTGGCTAAGCGCTGGGCGCATGGCTACATAACAGTTGCATAGGGGCCAGAACGAAAGTGCGTGCGAAGATGACGATGTCTTTGAGACAATATAAGTCATCGCTGCAGCCGATCGAGATGGTCTCCGATTGCGCGGGCCCAGTCTTTCCAAAATCGCCAAGATTGTAGTCATAAAGCTTCCACATTTCGTGGATGGCGGATAGACAAAGGTTCCGAATTGGACAACCAAGCCATCAAGAGAAAGATGTCCAGAATTTCACATTACGTTACCCTGAATTTCTATTTCGGAAAACGGCTGGAGTGGGAAATCAAGATCCGAGCGCCCGTCCCATCTCGTGGGCTTGGTATGGGGAGCACGGATTGATCAATTTTCCGCTGCTGGACTCCCCAGACGATTGAAGGCCTGCTTACTGCAAGCGAGAAGGTTACTGACAGTAGTTCTACCGAAGCGGACTTTTTTGCGGAAGCAGTTATGCCCATACGATGGAGAACTACAAAGGGGCAGGGGATTCTCCGGATGTTCCGTTAATTCAAGGCTTAAGTAGTCCGGCGGCTTATAAATCACCGTTTGAAGAGGTAGCAGCGTGCGACTTGCGTCTTCGTCCGAGCTTGAATTTGGAATCATGTTGGTTGATGATTCGTCGAACTTTCTGGCGTAACTTTGGATATGATGGCATAATCGAGCCTCTGAGCACGACATTAGAATTACGGGCCATCATAAAAAGCGTTGAAGTGCGCGAACGGTTGATCCGAGTAATAATTCTTCAACTCACATCCCAAACCCAGATCAGCCATACTACCAACAGTTTTCAATCATTCCTATTCACCATGCCTCATTCCGCCGCTGTTATTCCCGCTGCCACGACACCGTTGGTGGTGCAAGATGTCGAGACCCCACAGCCGGGGTCGCACGAGCTTTTAATCAAGAACGAATTCATCGCTCTCGTACCCATCGACGCGAAACTTGCCAAACTGGGAGTTTTCCCAATTCCTTATCCTGCAATTCTGGGTACATCGTATGGAGGCACAGTCACGGCAGTTGGTCCAAATGTCACCGACTTCAAGGTCGGAGATAAGGTCGCATCAGCTAAGACTGCTGGTGCTGAAGGCAACAAATTCGGCGCGTTCCAGAAGCAAGTCATCGCTCGGGATGTCACCACCAGCAAGCTGCTAGCATCAGTCGATTTCAGTGGTCCCGTTGGTCTGATTGGAAATTTCAGCACTGTCATCGGCCTGTTTAATGAGCATCTGGGACTTCACAAGCCTGATGCGCATAGCAAAGCCCCGCCGAATGGCAAGAAGATACTTGTCTACGGTGGTACTTCAAGCTTTGGAAGTCTATCTGTGCAATATCTTGTACAAGCTGGTTACGATGTCGTTACTACCACGTCACCTCGACACAAATCGCTTGTGGCTAAGCTTGGGGCTGTGAAAGTCATCGACCATACACAATCTTCCGATGCGGTCATCAAAGCCTTGAATGCGGAAGGAGCTTACGACTACGTCGTGGACTCTATCTCTCTTCCAGATACCATCAAGATCACCGGCGGGGTTCTTGGTGCTCAGGGAGGTGGTAAAATATATGCACTGCTACCGCCCTTCGGCCCGGACGATCTCCCGGCAGGTGTGACGCGTGAGTTTGGCTCGTGGAGTGCGCCTTTGGGAGAAGAGAAGAACGCAGGTCTTCTGAAGTGGGCGTTCAACACGTACTTTCCCCAAGCAATTGCGGAAAACAAGCTCATTCCGCTTCCAACGCAGAAGATTGATGGTGGTCTCGGTGCACTCAACGAAGCCCTTGATATCCTGAATAAGGGGGTCAGCGGTTTGAAGGTGGTTGTAAACCCACAAGAGTAGTTAACTGGAGAAACGAAAGAAAACATTTTGAACAAAATACGTTTATCCCAACCTAATGCACAAACTTTTGAAACCAGACTTCAGTCATCGTGAAGATTGCCATCTCTCACTGTGTGGGTCGGACCGCCCCACAAAGTGCGCTAGGTAAGGTAGACCCCCGGGCCGGTAGGGAGGTACCGCGACTCGTCGGGTGAATGACTCTCCCGTCCGGTTCGCCAAATTAATTAAGCCCTCGGCGTTCGTCAAGACTTCATCCTCGCTCCTATTGCACCGACACACCCACCATCGTGATGCGATGACGACACTTGTTGCTCGAGACTATCGCTGCGCGATATGCGGTGGACCGCTCCAGAAGCCCTCAATTGCCTTACGGTCCAAAGCCAAAGATGAGGTGAGTGGGATCGATGCAGGGGATGAAGCCTATCGCGGGCTTGATCCTGCCTACTTCGATGACTGCGACATCAGCTGGGTTGAGGAACTTCGGTTCCTAGGTTTCAATCCCAATGCTCCATCAAGTACCGAAAAGGCCTTATTAACTGGTCGAGGCAGGCTAGAGGAGGGGATTATAATGGCCGAGAGAGGAAATGATGTCAACGCCCCTCACTCGGACATCGGCTTTGGGGAATACAGACTCTATTACGACTCTACCCGGCTCGATGCTGTCTTCCCACTCCACAGCGTCTGCCATTCTGAGATTTGGAGGCATTTGCTTTTACAACATGACATCCAAGATCACAACGACATGCTGTATAACGTCATGTTTGAGCTATCACATGGGCAATCGTCATTGGCCTTGGAGCTTGACTACGGTATAGACATGAGCCCGGCCTTCAAACTAGTGCCTGGGGAGGAATTTATCCTCATGAACCCCGTCAGCGCCTATTCTGAGTGGCGGCTGATGTCTCTCGGCAATATCGACACTTCGGAGTACAACCACATATGGACACCGAGGCAGAAGACAGAATGCGACTTTCTAAGGAATCTCCCACCGGAAGTTCTCCTGGAAGTCGCATCGTACCTCGATACCACAAGCATTTTTCGCGCGGTCGAAGTGTCTGATCGCCTGCTCTCCATTGTAACTGGCAATTGGTCTTTTTGGAAAGGGCATCTTCGCGCACACATGCGGTGGTTTAATCAAGCATACGAGGACGCAAAAGAGGCAGAGTCGAAAGGCCAGAAGCCTGATCTAATGCTGTGGGCCTACGTTCTTCAACCAGACAAACCTGACTCGGCGCTATCATTAACAATGCATAATCGAAAACGCATCTGGTCAATGTGTGAGGAAATCACGCGGCGATAAATGGCAAAGTGGAAACGGGAAGAGAGCGAGTGGTATCAAAACCGCACCGCTACCTCAATCATCGACGCTTCCCATTGCGATCAGCTCGTTTCTGTTCAGGGTAACAGTGTAAGCAAAAGCAAAGATCTTCGTACCGTCCCGTATATCCAATCATGCGACGATTTCCACCGACGACGGACAATCCAGGCCTACTTTGACATCAACTGTTCTGGGCTCGAAGGTCTTGAAGAAACCGCTTTTGTTGCTAGTCAAACGGAGCCAAACCACGACGCTGGGATCTACAAGGAATTGGTTCGCCTAGGTGACGAAGCCTCTACTCTTCGAAAGGCCGTAGGTCAAGTCAACCCGGGCCAAGGTATCATTGGATTTGTACTGCACACGACGTGTACTGAAGCCAATGCGGTTTCACTCAAATACACCGACTTTCGGTACATCACACTCCCCAACTTTTTCTCTATCTGCATCAGTGCGGTCACCGTAAGTAACCCAACTTACTTTGTAGATACGCTCTGCAGCATTTCTGCAACTAGATAGCTGCACATCAGAATAAAGCGTCCTACGTATGCTTTCAAGCTTTGCTAATCATGTGTAGGACTCGGCGGGGCACAAGAGGGCACAAGAGGGCACTTCAATGGAATCGCCAAATTCCGAGTTTCGAGCGGTAAGTTGACCCTTCCTCGTATGTTCCATGAGTGTTTGATGGAGTGCACGGTTTCCCTTTTAATGGACGCCATACTGACACATTTGATACCCGCAACAGTCTTTCGCTGGAATGTCTTACATCGGAGCCCTGTCAGGCTTCCTTGAGGATGGAGCTTCGGATGAAGACGGAGCGGGAGAACGGGGTGCTGAGAGAGATAGCGATGATGAAGACGATGAAGATGATGGCCTGGTCGGATATCTCGAAGAAGCAAATGAGGAGTAGACTTGAGATTGCCTACCTTGATCAAAGTTCGACGGCAGTTGTGTACATGTATGGAGCGTATATCAGGATCTCATTACAAATCCGAATAAGTTGAAATCGTTGTAGTCCAGTTCAGAGCCCAGAATGAGGTCAATAGTCTTCACAACCATGTAATATCAGAAGCAGTGCGGTCTGAGGCAAGCTCAAGTTATTCTTTCATTGTCGCTAATCAATGCTCAAAACGCTCCAACAATCATAACCCAGTATATACAGCAGCCATGAAGTCCCTGTATGCAATCTTGGACCATACTTTCTCATAGACCCTTAGCAGTAACCCACACTGCGCAGAGAGTAGCCGTCGGGGATTCTTTGGCTGCCAGAGAAGCTCAGGCCACAGTTGTTGTTGGCATTGACAGTGTATCCTGCACGCGTGATGGAGTCGTAGATGTTGGCGTAGTAGTTCATCTGAACGCAGCCGCTGCCGACTACGGCCTGGTTGATGTTGAGAAGTTCAACTTGGCATCCGGCAGCGGCGGCGAAGCCGGTATAAGATGCCAGAAGACAGACGGCCACGGTAAACTTCATTTCTAACAGGATATTAGGTCCTGGAGAAACTGTTGAGTGGTATCTTAAAGTGCCTTACTGCTAGTCTGAGGGGTTCTCTGTTGAAATTGTGAGTAAAAGTCGAGGTATGGTTCCAGAACAATGCTACTGGAGAGGAGTTGGATTGTTTTTATAGACGTTCTAGACTATGCAACAGCTCTTGGTCGGGAAGCAGCCGGATCACCCGTTCAATTCGATGCTTGGTCGACTCCATTATCTCCACACGATTAGGTGTTCTCAGATGACTCGAGATTGTTCGTATCCAAGAGGGCCAGGTAAGGCGGTATCCCACAGGGGTTGGCGGCCCCAGAAGTGGAACCAAGCAAATGATTGTTCAAAAGACTGCTGGTTTCATTGTTTTCCCACAAATCCAGTGTCCAATCAGCCTACTAGTTGTATCAAATGGCTTCGGAATCTGGGTAGCGTTGTTCAAGACTTCTATCATATCCATGGTGATGTCACGTACGGCCTGCTCGCCGATGTAGGCAACAATCATTGATGTCGGACTGAGCCCGAAAGCACGAGTCTAGAACATCCTTGCAAACTCTAATAGAAAAGGTCATCCCCCATTATCCATGTCCATCACATAAACAAAAGAATGCCTGACTCGAGCACGGATCCGGAGTCTCGCATTCACCGTGAAACAATGAAATGACTTATGCATAGGTAGTTGGGGTAGCATAAGATTACTGGATTCTTCGTTATGTTTAGCAGTGTCTAAAAGAGCAGACTTTGAGGCGAGAGTGACAGCAGACTGAATAAATTTGCGGCTTGGCTTGTGAAGATCCCATGTTTTTATACCCTTCAATCAACAATCTCGACTGTGCGAACTGTGACAACTCGGAGATGTACATGATTTGCAAGGTTATTCCTTTTCCGGTAACGCAGGATCGACAAAGGTTCGCTGTCACGCCTCTAACAAATAAGCTTACTAGTCCGAGCAAAAGTCAAATAGACTGAGAGGTAGCTGGTAAGAAGTATCATTTATTTGTGATCGCATTCGCCAATGATCCCATCCCAAACAAGTACTAAACTGGCAAGAATATATCATTGAATTACTTGCCAGGTCAGTTTGCAGCGTGTTGCCTTCATATTGCTGTGGTGGAATGTGAGTTCCTTTCGGGCGTCAACGAGACTACCAGAGCAACCGGTCTTACTCTCACACCCGGAAACTATGTGCCCATCCAATCGACTGCGAGTGGAAGGCAGAACAAAGCGGCCTCCGCATTCACTACTTCTTATCAGATTCCTCTTAACTATAATAACCGCTCTTGGGTAGGAGAAAATAAAAATATTGTTTTGATTGGCTCGAACATCTCACATTTTGTGCTGTGGTCACTCCGCAGTCGCTGGAATTACACCAAATTGCCCCAATTCCTTCTTTCGTATCACCGCATATAAAGCTTCTGTTGAATACCTAGAACTCTAGTATATCTTTCAAGTGTTTTCGAGTGCACTGTGTCATGTGCCCGTTCTATAATCGCAATCCATGGAAAAAGTGGCTCCATCCGCCAGAACATTCAATAGTTACGGATAGGTTGTGTAGCTTCTTTAGTAGCCCAGCTTACAAAGCTGCGTGGAAGAGCTTCTCCAAGCGGACACCCTCGGTGTCAGCAACCTCAGTGTATATTCTAGGGCCGAAATGAGGGTGATAGGGATACGGGCTACAAGACATGTTAGTGTTTGACAGGGCTTGAAACATCATAGCTAGGATATTAGCTCACCCATATTCCGGAGTAAAGGTAACTTGGAAATCATCGCCCCTCGTCTTTACGGCATTTTGAACAATCTTGACCCACAGCTTCTCGAAGAACTCCCTCTCATCATTGTAAATGGGGTTCGAAGGATCGGGACATTGTGATGACTGAGTTGTACCAATGCGAGCGTGAATGTGGTGAACCTGCAAATTAAAGCTTAGTCTCAATGCATCATGGAAAGCCAGTGAGAGTCTCTTTCTCGAGCACTTACGTGAGGGATGACGGATTCGAGAACGGTAATATCCTCCTCAGATACATCCAAGAGTCTTTCGCCAACGACTACCCAGTGGGAGATGTCCGCGGTGATTCGAAGGCTCCAGGAGAGTAAGCCCAAACTATTTTCGAAAAACCAGCAGTTTCAATATGTGGCAACCTACTTTGGAACTCGATCCAAAACGTACTTCGCAACGTAAGGATGGTAAAGGGAGCGGTTTCTGTGTGTCTCGTGGGTGACCTTCCCAGCGAAGCCCAACTCCTCATCGATCTTGAAAGTCCCTTGGTAAAACTCAACCGACTGATCAGGTGTCCAGATATCGCTGTGCGGCAATGTGTAAGCTACGCGAAGAACATGATTCGCATGTCAAACTAATACGAACCTTCCAGACTGTGCGTTGACCTTGACAGGCTTCAAAATCTTGGCGCGCTCGAGCTGCTTGCGATAGAAATCGAGGTGGTCCTTAGGGGTCAGTCCGGGGGGTCTCGGTCCTTCGTATCCAGGCCAAGAAGACATGATTCTGTGCGAATGATGTCAGACGCGCTCGAGATTTAACAGTACGTCAATGAGCGGCGTTAATCGTAGGCGACATACTGTGCGATGAACTGGAGGCCGGACTCATCCAGAAGCTTTCTCAATTCGGGGAGATCCTCGGTCTTCACGGCTCTGTAGTCGATTTCAACTCCGGCTATTGGGCACTTAGAGTTAGCTTCCCTTCCGAATTTCTTTCCTGGCAGTCTTTGCTCACTGTAGCCCTTGGCCTTGAGCTCTGGAAATAGCTGCCTCCATGTTGCAAAGTTATCGCCAGGGGGAATGCCCCAGGTTGTGCGGAAACGAGTGATGTTCGGCATGGCGGGTATTGTTTCGGTAGTGTAAATCAGAGCGATGACTTTTTGAGAAAAGAAGAAGGAGGAGAGCAACAGTCCACCGGTTACCGATGGAGGGGTGAACAGCCAGCTTTTTAAACCCAACCTTGAATTTCTGACGCTGGGCAAAGCTCTCTGTCTCCATAGCTCCCCGCGATTCAATGCCCCGCGAAAGTGTCGAGCTTGAATTCCCATCTATAGCCAGCCAATAAGATGACGGCAATTGAACAAAAAAAGACCCAGGCGTGGACCCCGAACATGGACCGAGACCCGCCGAGTCAGCGGCGCGTATCTGGGGACAGCTTCGAGTCTAGAATGGATAAGTCCGGCGAAATATTACCTAGTTGGTCAGCTGAGAGCTGAGAGTCTGAGACAGATGTCCACAAAACGGCGCAAAAGCACGTGGGACGTCAGAGGATATGACAATGGCATCATGTTGATTCCGCGGGTTCAGAATGGACGCTCCACTTTGATTCTCAAAGAGGAAATTATCACCTCGGAATCCGGGGAACGAGGGGAAATGTGGGTACTTGGGCCTGCCTGTTCCCCGGACATAGATTACCCAAAGTGAGGATTCATGGAAAGACACCACCATCTTTTTGATCTTGCTGGACGACAGATGTTATGTTCAAAGAATTTACAGTTGAAATATGAAAGCCCGTTCAAAGAATTAACTGAATCCAGTCATAGAACACATCAGGAAGTTCCATAGCGAGATGATGCACATGTCGGCGCGGATCCAATTACACCAATACCACAGATTTGCCGGCTGCATGTCTGCGACTGATGCCGATGGGTTGCAAATCGTAGCTACGCTGGTTGATAAATTGAGACATCGTGGTCTTTCGGTTGAAGACGACAATGAAAGCGCCCACTCAAATGAAGCTGATTGTCTTCTGCCTACTTTACACTAGACACAAGATGCTGGTGAAGGCTTCCGCAGCGAGAACCATGCGAAAGGTCTTACTCTCCACGTAAAATCGCATCTGTCCTCTGGACATTGTTTTCGAAACTTTGCTGCAGATGAAGAACTCCGGAACGCTGAGGCATTCTGCAACTACGATCTCCGTGCGACATCCTGCTAGTCGATCATAAACTGAATGTGTGTCTTCGCAGTCCTCGGACGTTCAGCTTTGCGCAAATTGCCATTAAACTCCAGTTGACCCACAAACCTACAAGGTATATGGTATGATACGCATATAATGCTGACTTGAATGTGGTGGATGCGGGGTGAGATGGCAGAAAGAGCCTCAAGATCCGCGTTTGTTCTGTTGCGATTAAGAAGATGGCAACATTCCAGGAAACACACTGGTAATGATGAACAATTCATCTGATGCCCAGTACAAGTATTATTTAGAGCTTACCCGCATCATAAGAGACGACTTGGACTATGCTTCGATGACAGCACGCAATGAACGCTGCTCTTCATTTGCCTTCCACTGGGAAGCTTCACTTCCACACTCGCACTGAACCATGGGGGTTAACCAAGTCCAGTGAGAGAGTCTTAGCATGGGTGATTAGCGCATCTCGCCGTAATTTGAGCTGCTCGGAAAGTCCCGGTCATGCTGACTGTGCGTTGAC